GCACGCACTCTTTATTATGCAGCACACACGTTAGCAGTGTGGAAGCATTTCAACTGTCGGAGAAAGACGCAAAAATCATTACAAGCACCGACAGCGAGAGACTGTTTAGGACTGCAGCGCATGTCTTCAATGAAAAGAGGAAGGGGTGATTGTTGCTGGTTACTGTATGATGATTGAAATCGCGAAATGGCCTTAAACAATTAGTAAATAAACTGCAGAACTTTATGTTTTCTAATACACGCACGAATTGCATGTATTCTGACAGCGCTGCATGAACTCGCGGCAGATCTGCTTGTTAACCAGGGTTCAAAGTCCAAAACGAAAATCTGCGCTGAAACAGTGTTACTCGTCAGTTGCTCAGTCACATTTTTATGAATTTTTACAAGGCATGTGACAATGCGACACGAACGACGTATTCGTAATGAGACTCATTTATAAATCTGTTGTCAACAAAAATAAGCATTGAGGTCTTCCTGCGCGTTTCCGCCAAAATAAAAGTTGAGAAAAAGCAAGAACTCTTATCAACATTCATAAATGTTAGTATTGTAATTTTACTGTTGCTCTGTAAAATAAAATACAAATTAAGACAATAATAATTATAATAATCATTACAACAGCACTGTTTTAATACATTTATTATAACACACATAGTATTCAAATTAGGATCTGTAATATTGTCTAATGTTTTAAAAGAAGTCTCTTCTCAGCAAGGCTGCTTTTAATTGTATAGTAAAAAAAATAATAAAATAAAATACATGCCTGCTTCAAGAAGGGCCAAAAATTTTTATTTTACTAACTTATTCATTTTAAGTTAAATTGTGCTTTGTTGGTATAGTGTCTGCTAGAATGTTAAAAATGTTCAGTGTTAAATATTTTTAAATTGTTGTTTTGTAATTGATTTTTTTTATTTGAAAAGCAAGACAAAACAGTAAAAAGCACATTTTGGCTTTTTAATTTATGCAATGGTGAAACTTTTTTTTTTTTGCCAAATACATGGGGGAAAAAACTCTGTGTTCGGTATTCGGTATTTGGCCTTCGGCCCAGTGTTTAATTTTGTTTGGTTTTGGCTTCGGCCAAGAATTTTGATTTTGGTGCATCCCTATTTAATAGTATATTAAAAATAGAAAATCGTTATTTTAAATTGTAATAACATTTCACATCATTACAGTTATTACTGTATTTTTGATCACATAAATGCAGCGTTGATGAGCATAAGAGACTACTTTAAAAAACATTAAACATTTTACTGATCCCAAATTTTTGAACAGCAGTGTTTATAGATTATGTATTCCATATTATTTTTTCTTTCAAATTTAGCTATTCAACATTAAATTAATTACATTCATTTATAATTTATTTAAAGTTGTATTTTTCTGGTACAAAAAAAATAATAATGTTGATGGTATTTAAAGATCATTTACATAAGAAAAATACAGCAGTGCACATCAGAATTTAACTAACTATTCTGCTTTTTAAAAAAAATTAAATAAGACCTAAAATGCTTGAATATATGAATCAATTTCGTTTACATGAACTGTCATAACAGAACTGATTCACTAGAATTGGACATTTCTGTCAGGAACCCTTGAAGCCCGCATGTCAAACATATTAATTAAAAGTGCACCTGTGAACATGCATCAAGGGAGCATTTGGAAAAAGAATTGGGCCTTTTCTCTGCACCACATGTTGTGGTGGCAATCTCTGAACCAAATCTTCATAATTTATGGAACCCTCAGGACACACTCATCCACAGTCATGTTAAAGCTCTCGATCTCATGCCCCATGAGTTCCCAGCATGCTGCCACAATACCACAAACACTGTTTTCTGACAGCCTGTTTTATATAGATACAAGCATACGTTACTCATCGCGAAACCCTGTTAATGGCTCTCATAAGAGACAAAGCAGCTTCTGTGCATTTTATATTAGACAAAAGTTAAACCTCAAAGCAGGGTGTATAGCAGAAAACAGGTGGGGTGGAAGACTGCAGGATCTGTTAATAAGGATCGATACATGTCAAAGAGGACCTATGGGATGGAGGAATATAGGGATCGATAACACAAGGAAGTGGCGTGTGTTGTAATGCACTGCCAGATGGGAGGTGAAGGGTCTCAAATGACTACAATCAAAGGTTTTTTTCTGCCCACATCAGACCCACACATCCTCAAAGGACGTAAGAGAGCGCAGCAACAACAGGCCACCCATGAAATTGCACCAGCATTTCTGTTATTGTAAATGAGTAGGCAATGTTTAGGTGTAATGAAATTAGGGTGCAACTAACATCTTCAGCAGGTTGGATAACGACTGTCCCATCTGCACAAAACGCTTGGAATGTTTTGACGTACAGAAATGATGTGTATTTCAGAATCACATTCCAAATGAGACATGTTACGACTCTGCAAAGTGAAGTGTGAAAGCTACATTGCGAGTTGCGAATTTAAGCTCATTCTGGTCAACAAGTTTGGCTGAGATGGAACAAAGTCTGACGAGCCAAGAAAAAGCAGGAAAGCAAATGGGGAAATGCAGAGAAAGCCAAGTGGCTTCTTGCAAAAAATGCTCAGAAGAAGAGAAAGGAAATTGAGTGAAATGGAGTGAGTTTTTTTGTGAAAAAGGCTCTCAGGAAGTGTGTCATTCTCTATTGTCGCTATCTAGCTGTTTTTATTTATTTATTTATTTTATCTTTTGGAGGGATGTTGCCACTTATGCTGCCACTTGGTGTCAACCGAGATTGCTATTTGCCTATTGCTGTAAAACTCTTTTCAACAACAGCTCACAAATGGCCATAGACAGCATATGTAAGACCATTATTGTTGTGAAAACAAGATAATTTACAACAAAAAAATAATAATAATAAATAAATAAACTTGGAAAAGCTTGAACACTTTAGAATGATTGGAAATCTGATATAAGAGGTAAAAACAGATTCCAGTAAAGACTCTTACAGCTCTTGGCTCCTATAGACGTAGTTCCAGTTCACCCTATTTCTGCTTATTTCTCTGTGTGCCCATCAAGTAGAATGGTATGTAGCGTCTGGACCAATCAAAAACACAATTTTTCATTTGATTTCTAAGAATTGACAGACAGTTGACCCTGGGAGGTCAAGTAAATATCTACAGCGGATCTAAATATTTATAATTAATTATAACTAGTTATGATTAATTATTCATATTTCCCCATGAGCTGATTCGCTACAGGTATAATCTTTGATCATTCCCCTCATCAAGTCAAACTACTTCTTTTGTTTTTGTTAAGCTTTAGCTGGTGTGTAAAAAGCTGCTGAAGCATGGCACTGAAAAGACAGACTCCATCAGTCACTAGTAGTTTTGATGATCTGCAGACTGACGGAGGCACTGTATTTTTAAGCATGGCAACAATGAAACAATTCAAGCTACTAGATTTGATTTTCAATTCAAGCACAGAAATTAAATTCAATGAGCTTTATCACAACTTACAACAATCTGGATGCCTCAATGTGGCAATTTCAATGAAGTATCTTTACTACCTCAATAGCTTAAAAAGGCACATTGGCCCTGATAGCAGTATTTAATGCATTAATGTTCAGATATTTGGAAATTCTTACATAGAATTCTTTTCACAATCATATGAACAAAATGTGCATTTGTTTTGCAGCAGAAACCAATGCAAAGATAATAGGGGCTTTTCCCACCAGCCATAAAAGTTGCCAGGAGCATTTCTTACTAAAAACTCCCAAGACTCCTATAGAATTATAACATTATAAAATTGGACATTGGATATTTTATGATTAAATACTGTACTATTATGTCCAAATTATTTAAAAATAAGACAATAAAAACTTAAATCAATCATTTTAAAATGCTACAAGAGGCATAACAACAGTAAAAAGTACGCTATTAAAATCATTTTAAGATTTGCTAAGGATTATATTTAATAGTATATATATAGTCTATCGTCTAAAAAACTGTAAGTGTACAGTACCTATATTGTGAGTTTAAGGATGTTAATGTTCCTGTGGCACAGTGGTAGAGCATTGCGTTAACAGCACAAAAGGTCATGGGTTCAATTCCCAGGGAACACACAAACTGGTAATAGCCTGAATGCACTGTAAGTCGCTTTGGATAAAAGCGTCTGCTAAATGCATAAATTATAAATTAAGGATGTGATGTCAGCTTTGTGCTTTACAATACAGAAATTAAGAAAAAGATGTTATACCATTTGTGAAATTGGTAATCTTTTGTGAAATTAATTTCATCCAGAGCCACAAAAATTGCCAGTACTCCAATGCCAATATTATTCAATAAACCAGAGGCAGAGAGGACATTTCTATTAGCCTGACATAGAAGGAATAGGCATTTCTTCAGGGAGTTATAGTTTATATGCATTGTCTGAATAGCTCCGTGCCCTGAGGTTAAAACATATTAAAACTGTTTTATGCATTGATAAGTCCAAAATAAAACATGGCGGCACTCTGATTTATCACTGATGTGACAAACACAAAGGAAGCCAACAAGTCACAACCTTGTAAATGCAGAGATGAGATAACCAAGCTACAAGACTGTGAATTTGTATTTTATCGTCTGTTATTTTACTGCATGCCGCAAAAAAAGTTCTGGCCTTTCTATTAGGATGAACTCTGAATAAACACAAAACACCCATCTGGTTCTAAAATCATCTTTCTTAATAATTATTTAAATAATAATAATAATAATAATAATGACAATACATTTCAATAATAATGATGATTGTGATTATTATTATTATTATTATTATATCTTAACATTTTCTGGCATTTCTCTTAGGATGAACTCTGAATAAACACAAAACACCCATCTGGTTTTAAAATAATCTTTCTAAATATTTTTAATAATAATACAGTAGTATTACATTAGTAGTAGTCATTTCAATACATTTTTATTATTATTATTTTATTTTTATTTTTTTTACATCTTAGCAATCATAGTCAATGATTCGGATCAATAGACCTCCAGTCATGAGTTAGTGGAGGATAAAATTCAAACTCACTCAGTGCTATTTTCGCTAAGTGGAACCGGTTGACCCAGGAGATCTTGCTGACGGGGCTTGGAGTGTTGAAGACAACCGTGAAGCTCACAGGACGACCAGACCTACAGCACATGAGAAAAACATTGGACAGGTGGTGAGATACATTGATCTAACCAATATGGGAGCACTGCCACGGCCCTTTGAGTTAGATAATCTTGTAAAATTTCCATAAAAACACATCACAACATGGTGGTCCCTTAATTATCAGTATTAATAATACAGTGAAATAGTTTTGCTGCAGTGCACCAAGGAGCCCTGGGGAGAGCAGCTGACACTCTCCCCAATACAGCTTGATCTCTGTGCTTATTGGAGAAAAAAGCAGACAGCAGAGATGAAGATGGTATGGAGATACATAACATTTGTCTTCCTTAATTTAATCAAAGAGACAGTATGAAGGTCAAAGAGACCATAAGCTCCATGGATGTGGTGGCATGTGGGGTTATGTGGAGAAGGAGGGAGAGGGTCAGGCCACAAGATGAGGTGAACACGCTGAGCTGATCTGCATTCTAAGCCAAGATGTTTAGCCAGGTTAATGGACCAGAACTTTTCAGCAATGCCTTCTACAAGGGGGGAATGAGTAAGCATGACTGAGCACTGTGTGCTTCTGGATGGGATTAGGTTTTTAATATGAGTTATTAAAGGAGATTGGCCACAAGAAACCCACCTGGATTTGACTTCGAAGAATGACAGTTTAAAATTGAAAATGTGATTCAATTTCTGGATTCGATCATTATAAATAGATCTATCTGTCTGTCTGTCTGTCTGTCTGTCTGTCACTCTCATGTAAACTAACTATATAAGGGAAGTACTAAATAATAAACCAGATTTAATTTTTGATTCCCCTTATTTAAAGGCAAAATATGTAAGATTTTTTATTAAAATATCCAAAAACCACTAGAACAGTGTAATATATTTTGCTGACTTGTGTACTTACATTATCCCAAATGTTTCGAAGAATGTTTAAATCCAGAGAAATAAGCAATTTTAACTAGTGACACAGACCACGCTCATTCAGCGGTCTCGTTTTGCTTCGACGGCTTTCAGCCTCACCCTGCTTCATTCTACTACGTTAATAAATCATTAGCTCATCCAGGAACATGATTTCTGCCCGAGTCCCATCAGATTGCATCGGCTGTGAGGATGAAGACGACAACTCCCATGATTCCACACTCAGTCACGGCGTCATCAAACTACGCCTTTGTCTCTTTGTTTATTTTGAATATGCGCCCTCTAGCGGCGAAAATTACATATTGTGCCTTTAATTAAAAAAAGTATAGAGTGCCGTTTCTGTAAGCAGTACGCAAACTTATGAGCCAAATAACAGTTCTGCACTCTTTTTAATACAGCTGTGCAGGTCTTCAATGAGTCAGGAACCCATTCTACACTTGTAAAAATACTTTGACTTCATTTCTAACACTGTGCCTGCTAAAGAGAGTCTTTCAGCAAAGGCTCAGGGACACGGAAAGCAATTCACATTCAAACATCATTAGAAGGTAATTGACTGGAGAATACGATGACGCCAGCCTTGGCTACTGTCACACCAGCAGCCTCTGCCTGCTCGGCGTTCATTTCTAGCCCAGGAGACACAGAACGAGTCAGAGAGAGAGTGAGCAATAGAAAGGAAAAAGGAAGGAAGAAAAGCATGAAGTGCAAATACACAGATACAGAAGAATGAACTAAAACCTTCGAAGACACTCCAAGATAAAGAAAGCGAATTCCAAATGAAATTCAGGTGATGCTAGGCTCCTTCCCAGAATGGCAAATGCAAACAACATCTCGCAGATTTCCTTCACTCAGCACAATGGTCTCATGGGGGAAAATAAGCAAAAAGAGGTGGGATGGGGGAGGGCTGGTTGTTCGGAGTGGAGTAAGTGCGCTCCATGCTTAATTTGATTCTTGGGATAAAGCTGGGCACCCACATCGGTCTAAACATGATAAACAGAACGGCCGTGGGTTCCTCCCGCTGGCTGATTGAAAATCTGGGTGGTTGCGAGAGGGTGTGTGAGTGTGTGTGTCTCTGTGCGGCCTGAATGAAGAAACAGCAGAACAGGCAGACTCCCAGGCAGAAAGGGCAGAACGGAGAGCAGAGAACAGACTGATTTATGGCTGCAGGTCAGTGCTGTGGCATGTGTGTGACACTAATGCAGAATGACAGGACAGATGGTGGAATGGAAGCAAGACACTCAGCTCTTTTCTGTGCCGATTGGAGGAGACTGTAAATCACACAGGAAGTGGCTTTGGAGAAAGCACTCTATGCCTATAAGCTCTATAAACCCTACGCCCATTAGTCCAAGATCAATTGACCTGTCAAATTCACACTTAACCCTGGGTTAACATCTTTTAAAAACCAAGTTAAGGCCTCTTTTAAACTTTGGGTCTCACAAATGGGTTAGCAATGCTTTCAAGTTGTTTAGCCACAGACAACCAATCATAAACTGCCTCAGTTCTTACCTTATTAAATATTGATATGCTTTCACGCTGTTTAAGTTCAGTGTGTAAGTGAAGCAAATGAATTAACTTGAGTGATCATTATTTTTGTGATTTTTTTTTTGATATTTCTCTAAAAGATATTTATATAATATAAGATATTAAAGATATTTCAAAAACAGAATCTATGTGGCCAGTCTGTATTTGTCCAATCAATGTTACTAACCTCATAAATATGCAAATTCCTGAAGCTCAAACAGGCAGCAGCACCACCATGGTCATGGGATTTATTCCCAGGGAAGGTATGAAGTGATAAAATATAATGCAATGCAAGTCACTTCGAATGCAATGCAAGTCACTTTGAACAAAAGCATCATGCAAAATGCATAAAAATTTAAAATGCAAATGTAAATAAGAACATTAAGCCAGGGTTTACAAATATGCAGTGTGAAATTTTGAAACCTGGAAACCAGGATTATTTACTAACCCAGGACGGGGTATGAATGATCTTGGATTAACAATTTCAGGTGTGAAACAGAACAGAAAATGTGGCTAAAAAGCTGATTTACATACAGTGCATGAACAGATCTCAGTAGACCAAGAAGAAAAAAGCATTCTAGTATGAAAAACTTGAAGACTTGCCTCTGTTTCAGTCATCTGTCAATATACTATATTCATATTTTGTTCTCAATCAACCCGCCGTGTTTTTGTCAATGTGTAACAGGCAGAATACATAGGCGCATACACAGACTTGCAGCAAGTTGAATGGGTGATGTTAATTATCCTGTTTCCTGAATGTGCATCATCCTCCGTGGCTCCAACGCTTTGAAATTCCACGTGTCATTGTCCCCTTTAGCTTTACTGGTCAGCTGCTTGCTGAGAGGAGTTATCTGATGGTAGGAAAGGCTCCTAAACTAACAGCAGGTGAAAAACAAAGAACAGTGGATGCATGCTGCCTCTCTCCCCAGGTCTGTACGTGTGTGTTTTTTAAAGAGAAGGATAGGTGAAGAGAGAGAGGATTTGTGTATGTGTACCAAAGAGAGAAAGAGATGGTTTTAAATTAGTTTTTTTTTTTTTTTTCTGTATTCAAAGCTTTATTTCCTTTTCTTCTCTGCCTCGCTGCGATAATGTTCTTCTTTTCTCCTTAACAGAATTTTTTTGGCCTGGTTGCCACCTTTTATTTATAGACCAGTGGAGAGAGGAAAGGAAATGATGGGGAAAGAGGGCAAAACCAAATCAGGAAATGTTATGAGCCGGATTCAATTAGCATCAGCCAAATAAACACTATAGCTCTCACAGCTCTTAGGCTCTATTCTATTTACTTCTATTCTATTTTAAATTTCTACTTTAAATTATATCTTGTGTATTCTTATATTTCTTCAATCCTGCTGGTTTCTGAGAGCTACCAAACTAATGTCGTTGTATTATTATAATGACAATAACGTTTCTTTTTTTATTCCATTCTGATTCATTAAGGGGACTTCCAAACTTTTGAGGAATATATGTTTGCAAAAAAGAAATTCAATTCTTAGTATATAGTATTAGTGCCCTCAGAAGTCTGTTGCCAACTGTAGAGATCACTAGTTGCACTGTACGTTTTTGATTCACAGACTAATAAGAACACAAGAAGATAACACTGTATATTTTCTATTCACTAAAAATAAAAATTCTTATTTCAGGGATCAGGTAATGTCGTTGCTCTGTGTGTTTTTGATTCACTAAAAAGAATTGGCTCATAAAACTCACATTGGCTCATATTTAAAAAATTAAAACACAAAATACAAAGCAACACACACAAAAAACCCTGGAATAAGACTAAATAATTGAACAAGAAACTAAAAACTAAACGAATCAAGTAAAAGCAATCCTGAAGTAAAATGTTTTAAGATGAGATTTAAAAATACCTAACGAATTTGCCTCTCTGATGTCAACCGGGAGAGAAATCCACAATTTGGGGGCATAAGATGAGAAGGCCCTGTCACCCCTAGAACGAAGCCGTGTTTTAGGAACGACTAAAAGACCACTCTGAGAAGAGCGCAAATTACAAATAGGTGAATAAGGTGTTAAAAGCTCGGCCAAGTACTGAGGAGCCAGACCATGCAGTACCTTGTATGTTAACATAAGGATTTTAAAATCATTGCGGAATCTTACTGGAAGCCAATGCAACAATGCCAAAACAGGGGTTATGTGGTCAACAACCCTAGCCCCTGACAAAATTCTAGCTGCCGAATTTTGCAGGTACTGAAGTTTGTTGATACAGGATTTAGACTCTCCAATGAGAAGGGCATTACAGTAGTCTAAACGTGAGAAGACGAAAGAGTTAATTATCCTTTCAGCAATGGAAAAAGACAGCATAGGTCACAGACGTGCAATATTTTTGAGATGGAAGAACAAGGTTTTAACAGTGCTCTGCACAAAAGGCTCAAACGACAGGCTGGCATCAAAAATGACTCCAAGATATTTTAATTGACTTTTTAGCTCCAGCCCAACACCATCAGACAGAGCTAAAGAACCAGCATTGTGCAGTTGATGGGGAGAGCCGAGAAGCATGAGTTCAGTTTTAGAACTATTTAAGCACAGAAAATTGTTAGACATCTATGTCTTAATCTCCGAAATACAATCTGAAAGATGGGATAAGTCTACATATCTTGACCTGGTTTTGAATGGATATAAATCTGGGTGTCATCAGCATAAAAATGGTAGTTAAGGTCAAGAGATCTTAATAGTTGACTGAACGGAAAAATATATAGGACCAAGCAAAGGACCAAGAATTGAGCCCTGGGGGACACCAGTACTACCCGGATCAACCTCTGATCTGTGGACATCCATAAAAACAAAATGACTGTGATTAGAAAAATAAGATCTGAACCAGTTCAAGGCAGACTCCATAACACCAAAAACAGATTCAAGTAGTATTCAAGTCATATCACTAAATATTCTTAAGTCACTAAAAGTATAAAAATAATTAGTTTGGGAATCTGACCACAAAAGAGCTGGCTCATAGGAATCAGTTGTTTGGAAATCAAATTACACTGGTCATGGTGTATGTTTTTAATTCACTAAAAATAACCATCTCTTAAAAATCATTTGTTAATGATTACAACAACACTGACCAGGCGTTACATTTTTGATTCAGTAAAAAGAATCTGATCATTCATTCAGTATTAAAATTACACTGGTCATGCTGTGTATGTTTTGAGTCACTAAAAAAAAAATCGGTTAATGATATTTGGAATTCAGACTATATTGTAAATTCTTGAAGGACCAGCTATGGTGGCTAATAAAAATATATATATTCAGTGTTGGGGAGTAACTAGTTACATGTAACGGAAT